GACTACAATATGATCAAGTGTTGAATTTGAGTTTTCCATTGCAGTTCCCTCTCCATAAATAAACTTGACATCGTATTATCTTCTCCAGTCTGAAATATACAGTAGTACCCCGATTTACGCGGTCAATTGAACCCACAGGGTACCGCGGAAAGTGAAAACCGCGCAAAGTGAACAACAGAACATATGGGATTAATTCCAATAGAGACTGGCCCGACCCCCAAACTCCACTTTTTCCGACACAATACCTATGTTGTAGTAAAAATAACATATAAATTTTATGATGGTATGCTCACACAAATAATATTTAAGAGAAATACAGTCGCCAGGTTTATGTCCATTCAAATAATGGACTCAAATCCCCCCCCCCTCTTCCCAGCTCACTAGCTCCTACCTCTCTGAAAAACGATTGGGTGAAAACACTACATTTTAACGTTTAGTAATAAATAATACCTCAGACTAAAGTTAGGATAATATAATTGACATTTCTGGATTCCTTGCAGGTCAGGGAATATTTTTAATGTAAACTTCATATATTTTGCACAAAAGATAAAATATTTGCTTTGTGTAAACCAAATTATTACTTTAGATCTAAAATTTGTATGTCTAATGCAAAATCCATGATGTTTATATTCAAAATGATCATCATATTGTAAGAATTCCAGCAATGTAAATTATATTCTGGGTGAGTAATTTGTATGAATTTTATGAGCTAAAACAAATATCTTCAGTTAATAAAAAGAAAAAAATATTCTTCACGACACTATCTGTCAATCAAAGTACCCCACCTTGCCTCCCCCCTCCTCACACTCACACCAGCTGGGTCGGTCGGTCCCAACCCTCCCCCCCCCCACCCCCCACCTCCCACCTTCCCTCCCTACCAGAGAAATGTTGGGTGAAAAAACTAGATTTTAACTTTTAGTAATAAATAATACCTCAGACTAAAGTTAGGATAATATAATTGACATTTCTGGATTCCTTGCAGGTCAGGGAATATTTTGAATGTAAACTTCATATATTCTGCACAAAGGATAAAATATTTTCTTTGTGTAAACCAAATTATTACATAAGATCTAAAATTTGTATGTCTAATGCAAAATCCATGATGTTTATATTCAAAATGATCATCATATTGTAAGAATTCCAGCAATGTAAATTATATTCTGGCCGGGTAATTTGTATGAATTTTATGAGCTAAATAAAAAGAAATTATACTTCACCGCGTATATGAGTAGATGCACCACGGAAAGTGAAAGTCCGGTTCTGGCAAGGTACCGCGGAAAGTGAAACCGTGTAAAGCGGGGTAATACTGTACAGTAGAATTTTCCAGATATCATATTTAACTTGATCACAATCTCACTGGTTATCTCTTCATCAGTCACCTCTCTTATAGCAGACTCAAACAGTAATAAATTTCTTCAGCCCACAAAGGCAGTCTTTTTCCCACCACACACTGTTATAACAATACTTAATTTTTCATATTAACTGTCTCTGTTTATTTCATGATCCCCAAGTTTTTATAGTCTTGAAAAATCAAACTTCCATTTTATACAGTAGAACGTCGATTTGAAGCGATCCAATTTAAGATTATTTATTTAAAGTGACACCCTCAATTAAGGACAATTAAGGACAATGAATTTAATTTAAAGCAAATCTTTCCTATTTTGGGGGAGTCAATCTGGCGCATCATATTTTAAAATTTGCGCCTAATGTTTCTCTCGGCACGCTACACTGTCCTAAGGGCAAAGCTGTACTGTACATGTAATCAGAATAATGTACAAAATGATTACTAAAATTTTTGTCTAGTGCAAACTATGGCATGCTTACATTCAAATTAATCACTGACTTATAAGAATTCCAGCAATGTAAAATTATATTCTCCCCGGTCACTTCTATGAAATTTTTTAAGCAAAAAACAAAAACTCAATCTAAAGGACATAAATAAACAATTAAATACTTCACACCTCGGTGCCAACTGTCAAACATGTCACTGTCACCCCTCCCTCCCTCCCTCCCTTCCTACCCCCCACCTTCCCAGAAAAGTTTTGGTGGTTTTCAGTAGGCTTTAAGTTTTTATCTTATACAGGTATAATATCTCAGACTAAAGTTAGGAGAATATAATTTGCATTGCTGGAATCCTTGCAAGACAGCGAATAATTTGAATATGCAGTATAGTCTGCATTTACGCGGCTTTTGTTTACACGTTTGGTCATTTACGCAATGCCTTGCCAGAATGAAATGCTTTAATTACGCGGTAAATTTGGTCATTTACGAGGGAAGCGGCGCTGGCAGGGTGCGCACAAGGTCTCCCAGTCATCAAAACATTACCGAGTTCTTCACCCGCCACCCACCACAGCCGGCCCAAGTCAGTGATAGTGATAGTGATAGTGAGGATATGGACTTTGAGGGGTTTGACAAAGAGGTCCTGCAAGCCTCTGTGGTGGATAGTGATACAATTGATACAGGTGAGGGCCAATAATCTGCCCTCTGCCTCGGAACCAACCCCCCATCCCCGTGTGCCCAGCCATCTTTTCTACTAACGTAAGTGTTAAAAACCTAATATTATTGATATTTCTCTTAATTATTAATTGTGTGTGCATACCATCATAAAATTAAGATGTTATTTTGACTACAAGGTACGTATTGTGTCGGAAAAAGTGGAGTTTGGGGGTCGGCCCAGTCTCTATTTCAATTAATCCCATATGTTCTGTTATTTCATTTACACATTTCTCGTTTTACGCGGGCCTCCACGGATTCAATTGGCCGCGTAAATGCAGACTCCACTGTAAACGTCATATATTTTGTACAAGAGATAAAATTAATCACCTGTACCACATTACAGTAGTGATTTAAGAGTAAGAGTGTATATGTACGTATATATATATATGCAATATATAGTGATTTAAGGGCGATTTAGGGGAATTTTAGGAGTGTTTCTGACTTTATGCGTTTTTGGCTTTACTTTGTATATACTTTAATGTGAGCTGGAACCAATTACCCAATATCCCATTGAAACAATGGTTTTGGTTAACGAAATTTTCGGTTAACAAACGACCCTCTGGAACGAATTGAGTTCATTAACCGAGGGACCACTGTACAGTACTCAAAATAATGCACTAAATGATTATTACAATTTTTATCTCGTGCAAACTATAGCATGTTTATATTCAAATTAATCACTATCTTATAAGAATTGCAGTAATGTAAATTATATTCTCCCCGGTCACTTCTGTGACATTTTATAAGTAAAAAACTTAAACTCAATCTAAAGGACATAAATAAACAAATTAATGCTTCACTAGACCTTCAGCGCCAACTGTCAAACATGTCACTGTCACTCCCTCCCTCCCTCCCTCCCTCCCTCCATCTTCCCAGCCAGGGTTTGGTGTTTTAGGCTTAAAGTTTTTATCGTATATAATGTCACAGACTAAAGTTAGGAGAATATAATTTGTATTGCTGGAATCCTTGCAAGACAGCGAATAATTTGAATATACAGTACAAACGTCATATATTTTGCACAAGAGATAAAAATTTTTGCTCTTTTAATAAAATTCTTAAATTAGAACTAAAATTTTTATGTCAAATGCAAGCTATAGCATGTTTATATTCAAATTAATCACTATCTTATAAGAATTCCAGCAATGATAATTATATTCTCCCTTGTTAGTTCAGTGACATTTTATAAGAGAAAAACTTAAAGTCGCTCTTAAGGACAGATGAATAAATAAGTACTATAGTGCGTTTTTTCTCAGCTGAGAAAAGATGCCCCGCCCCCTCTCCCAAGAGTTACAGCTGATTGGCTGTTGCAAACCTGTCCGATTTTGTCCTGAAGTAATGATGTATTTCTAAATGAGTTTATTCATAATTAATCGTTGGGATGACCGTTTCTGACAAGAAAGATATTTAGGTAAATTATATAAAGATACATACATTCATTATTTCAAACATAAGCACATAGGAAGTTTATGAGAAGTATTTTATACATGAATTAACTGTTAAACTCTGGTAGCAAATTTACGCTTTCGGAAGATGCATTAAATATATACTGTACTTATTTTTACCCACAATAAGGCATACTCAGACAATTTACGTATCAGTTATACTACATTATGCAAAAACAACATTTTAAAGGATCAGAATTACATTGAAATATCACATGACCGTTAGCAGAGGCGGGAAATATATGAAGTTATTCGCAGTCATACTTCTGATAAACTTCTTACGTGCTTATGTTTGAATTTATGAATGTATGTATCTTTATATAATTTAGCTAAATATCTTTCTCGTCAGAAACGGTCATCCCAACGATTATGAATAAACTCATTTATAAATACATCATTACTTCAGGACAAAATCGGACAGGTTTGCAACAGCCAATCAGCTGTAAATTTTTAGGAGGGGGCGGGGCATCTTTTCTCAGCTGGGAAAAAATGCGCTTTAGACCTTGGCATCAACTGTCAAACATATCACCTCACCTCCCTCCCTCCCCCCATCTTCCCAGCCAGTAAACAGACCATTTTGCATCCCTTAATTTTAGCTGTGTTGATTTATGAGCGTTTGTTTTAACACAATACGACAAAAAACAGTGTTTTGTTTATTCTAGGATATGGGCTGAGGTGCATCTGGGTAGACTCTCAGTCTTTTTAGTATTTTGTGTTTCTCTCAAGTACCAAACTAAATTATTCCATTGAAACAACACTTCGATTCAGTACAAATTCCGTTTAAAACGACCTCTCTTGGAAAGTTTCTCGCGTTATATCAACGTTCTACTGTAGTACAGTATACTTGATATATCATTTCTGATTGAAGGAATGGATACTTTGTAGCTGATTACCCGGTAATAAATCTCCAGATAATGAAAATAGTCCTCTATATGACAACAGCTTCTGTCCATCACATAACATTGCAAATTTTTATACTGTATTTTTTTTTGTCTATTAATATCATTATTACTGTAATACCATCCACTAGAATCCTCTTTGTGCAATGTATTTTATCTACAGCACACCTGAGACGTTGGCAAATCGCGACCGGTGTCAAGTGGGTCAGATTTCTCTCTATGATGGTCCACTCGGTCAGTTCGGTGAAGGTGGCAAGTATGGTGACCTCTTCTGTGCAGCGCTGAGGAACTATGGCATGCTATGTATTGGTCTCTACAGGTGAGTAGGCACCACCACCACCCCACCTGCACCTCACCGACTTTGTACCCACAGCTACTCCATGTATGTACAAAGGCTGGCAATGTCAGCCATTGCTACTTCACTTATGTGTGGGGAGTGGCAGAGACCAAGGCTTAGATCAGTGTATTATGCATCAATGGGATTAATTTTTCTAGTTTTGTAACAAAATTAAAAGAACCCATGAGCAATGATATTAGAGGGTTTAAGTCATGATCATGTTACTTCTACCTTTGTCACAAGAGTATTTCTCCTTCCTACCTCCTCCTTCCTCCCTGTATTTATATACAGTATTAGCTTTATGCACTTCTTCTTCACCCTTCTATTGTATTCAATATTGATTAAGAGCGGACCTCTAAATAAGAGAGCCTTTTGCATCATCAGAATATGGTTTGTTAAAATAAGCTATTGTAATGTATCACAACAGTGTGTATGCACCTGGCTTGTTAAAATCCTATCATAATTTATTCAAGCCTGCAAAAGTAGGCTTTGTAAAGTATGTAAACCTGCTTTTAAACACACGGCTTATGAGACGTTTCTGCACTTCTTGTACAGTAGCATGGCCAATGGGCAAGCTTGTAAATTGTTTGCGAGGAGCAGGGGGAACTCTTGTTTAATGAAATATCATTTTCGTTATGCTCGTGAGATATGAAATTGATTTACAGAACACTCCGTATGGTTCCTCAATCTGCCGTTGGTTTGGACTGCAGATTCCGCGACACATCAAGTTCGTGTGACGCGTCGTCCAAGCGGTATGTGATAACCAACCCACCGGATGACTTCACGCTGCTGCCCACCGACCAGGTGTTCGTCCTCATGCAGTTTGACCCAGGCCTAGAGTACAAGCCTAACCGGGGAGATATGACCAAAGAAGACAACTCCTGACTCCTCCTCTGTAGCGCCCTCACTGACGGACCCTACTCCTACATCTAAAGAGTCCAGCGCTGCACCAACACCACACCAACACCACAACACACCACCCGCTCATCAGCTGCTGCTGCCGACCGCCCACTGCTCCCAGAGTGCAGCAGCGTGCGGCAGCTGCCCCGTGCTGTGCCTCAGCCGTCCTCCCCACTACAGTTCCCCCACCTGATCTCCTCCTCTCAGTACAGATCCACACCCTTTGTAGCCGCCCCCATCTCCCATAGTGGGTTTTTGGTCTGTTGTGTTCCGGATGGTCCCAGCACAAGGAGAGGTGTTGTGCACCTCACTACACAAGCAGGTGGCCCATGTGTGCTTCATCAATCTTAGTTCATATGTGTTCATACTGTTTTGTGTATGCTCATTTCAGTTAAAGGAATGAAATAACAACACTTCATTTTGTGATTATCATCTTTGAATTGTATATATTGATGCTTGAATGAGTATTCTTTGTGTGTTATTCTCTGCTTTTGTGTGGGATCGCAGACTTTTGAGATAGGGAAATTCACAAGTGTAATAGGATGTTCCAACTATGCAAAGTTGACTCACTCACTAGTGTCCCAGGTGGTTTGGGCGTAGCTCCATTGTCAACCCTGAGTTTAGTTGCCCGTTGTAAGTCAGCCTGCACATGCCCGGCTCACAGACACATTGGCCATTGCAGCCGTACAAGTCACACTTGCAGCAAGTGCTCACGTATTCAGGGTCCTTCAAACTCCCCTGGACACTTGTCATAGACCAGCTCAAAATACAGAAGGATTTCCATTGGTGCCCAAATTGTCCTTGCAGAGAAGTGGGCACTGAGTAACTGGTCTTTTGACTTGACTGGTCCAGGTCTGTTTGAGAGTGAGGATGCTACAATAGAAAGTTAAATATTAAGCAGATCTTCTTAATGATGTATTTTCTTTAGTCATCTGTGCAAAACCTTCGATAGCAAGATAGGTTATCGATTTTGTAATTATTCCTCTTTCTCTTTTTTTGTGTTCTTATAAGGTAATTATTGTTTATCATAATGTTATATATCATTTTAGGTTATTATTTCCTCATCTAATCACTCATGATTTTGTTAACCAGAGTATCAAAATTGTGGCACAGAAGACACCCACATTTTCACAAGCACCGTATAGCCAGGGATAGTTGTTCAGTAAGATGTAGGCCCAGAAATGTATTTACCTGCGAATTGTTTAGAGAAGAGTTTGAACAAAATGTTACGTGTTATAGTTTTTTACTTAGTTGTGTAACAATAACAAAGTTTACTAAATGATGCATCAGTGTGAACAAAGTTCTTAGTCTTGCAAGTTAAAGTTGTCAAAAGTGTAAAGAAACTGCATTTAACAAATCAAAATTGTTATTGGCACCATGTCCGTTGAGTGCCAAGGTGCTGTGTTCCACAGTGCCACTGTGGCTACGTGGCCAGTACCACCACCTCCAGGAAGGCAGCAACAGTGGGGATCTAGGAGCCCCACATATTACACATGCTGCAACTCCTGCTAGAAAATTTCATATAGAGAACTGTGAGCCAGGTCATCCCAATGTAAAAATTATCAAGGTCGTGGGTGGTCATGTTTACTGGTGGCCCATGAGCGCAAGTTATACCATGTTTTCTTACATTGGATATGTCCACGAGTGTTCTACAAGTTTCTGTGCATATACAGTCTCTCCTGGGGCCTAGTCCACTGTGGCTCACTGGTGTGTGGCCACTCAGGGTCTCTTTGTGGTGGCTGCGTCCACTGGTGGCCCATCTCAGTTGGGTTTAGAAAATATTATCCCATTAGCTGAGCCACATTGACCCCTGTGATCATATCCTAGTTTGTATGGTATGCCATTCCACATTTCTGATGTTTACAATATCCTGTTTTGATCCACAGTGTGCGATGATGTATAATCCTTGTTCCTACATACAGTAACCTTGGGAACTTGGCCCATAATGGCCCTTATTATCAGTGATGAAGATCACTGATTAATGCTTGAGTGTTATTATTCACCAGAGTGTTGTTCATATCTACTCATGCATATTTTTTTGAGTCCTAATAAGGTGTGCTGCACTGAATTATCTGTGAACATTGATAGTTGCTCAGCTAAGGTGCGGGGGCTCGGCCTCCATTACCTGCTGTAGAGGAGTGAGTAGCGCGCGAGCTGACCCCAAGGACTCACTAAGCGTGGCTCTCTGGTTGCGACTGTGTTGTCATTGCCTTACAAATGCCAAGAGCTTAATAAGTTTTCATCTCTATTCAGTCCTGGCTTCTCTTCTCCTAATATCACAGACCAGTAGATGGTGCAGGGGTATGTCAGCCAACTGGCTAAAAGATGGCAAAAAGTGATCAGAAGTGATATTTTATAATTTTATTTTCCCCACAGTGTTCTAAAGCAAAATAATGTTTAAATTTAATACCTCATAAGTACATCAGTGGACTTGATTAATAAGGCAACAAGTAAAAGAGAGTGGAGCACAAGCTTTGGACATTGCTTGGAAATCCCAACAGACATCACCAGGTGACTCAGGATCGCCAGCCAACTGCCCAGACTGCCAGCCGACTGACTGCACTATGCCCTAGCTGCCTGCCTGTCTCACCCGGCAGGCTATATGGGGACGGGGTCAGGAAGAGATGGAGAGGTGATTCTTTTAAAAGTGGGCATGTGTATAGGATCCAACCTTGTTGTTTTATCATAAATCTTAAAGACACATGTGAACACTTTCGTGTGAATCCTTCTTGATTAAATCCTGACTTTGTCTCCTTACGGACCGCCAACGGTCATGCAGTAAAATGCCTAGATTGAACTATGCTGGAAAAATTTCCCACTAGATACAGAATGAAATGTGATATGTAATATAGATCCAGGTGTCATGTACTGCATGATAATCGTGCTTCTTTTGAAAATGTTTTAAGAAATCACTGTATACTATATATCCTTGTATTTCTTCTTCATATTACTGAGAGAACATTTTTTGTATATTTTATGTCCACCTGTGTTTCCCCGCCTTCTGCTCTGGCCTCATTAATGCATAATAGTGACCATATGATCTATTTTGTACCAATGGATCAACTTGTATAAATCTCATTATCCTAGCAATTAAACAAGGAAGATGAGCCTTAAAACATTTCTGCCTTGTGTACAGAATAGGTCATTTGCGTTACGTTGGGTTTTCGGTCACCAAGGGGAAGTATTTGGAATTATGCACCGTTGGATATCCGTGTACCATAATGACTCTGATAGGACAGTGATCATGAACTATATTTACCTGCTCTGTTAGGTCATTTTCTTAATTATCAGGTTTGAAAGCAAGTGATATAGGTGGTGTTTATAGCTCATGATTGCTACTCTTATCAATTTTCATACTTCTGCGTTCTGAATCAGAGTCGTAATTCGACTGGTGTCTCTTACCTTGGCGTCTGATCTGTTTCAAGCTCAGACCTGTTAACCTGATTGCTCTATTTTGAGCTCCACAGTCTTACTTGGGCTCTGCTCTGCAAACCCGCCTTACTGAGTCATATTTTGTTGCAGAAGCAATAAGGCAAAATAAAAGTTAAAAGTTTTCAAGATTGCTTGTTATACAAACTGGCCATAGTTATTATACAGAAATCTAATTGCAACATGAATTTCAGATTTTCTAAGCTGCTGTATTTGTGATAAATGTTATAAATTAGAGGAACTTCGTCTGGGGTTTAGGATGCAAATCTGCATGTGCTATATCTCTTTTTTTAAGAAAATATACCTTAAAATCTGAAACCTTATATAGTAGGCTTTAAGATTTGGTGGAAGAACCTTATCAGATTATTAAAATGTGAATATAGTAAATAAAAGGGTTAAGTGGGGTAGATTTTTTAAGAAAGATTTACAACCCAGACCTGAGAGATGGTTCCTCTAGTTACATGCTACCATCCAGTGACAAGGGCCATTATGTTGTCACTGACTTGTGACGCACAGTAATTGTTGCTCTTGTACCAGAAGGGATTGGTTGTTTCAGTACTGGAAAAATATCAATCAGATGATCAGATAGCTGGTATGTTTGTTTTGATAGTCAAATGATGTTTAAAATGTTTAGCCTTATTGTGGGTGTGCCTGTTTCCTTAGGCCACCACAGTGGACTCATGGAGTGGACAAGGTTAAAATTGTCAGCATAATATCAAAATGCATTCAATGAAGAATAGATTAGACCAATACAACATTACTAAGTTGAGATTGGTGTCATGTTATCCTTATGGTCTGCATTTTTTTATTTTTAAAGATCTTTAATTGCCAGTTTTAGCCTGGGCCATGATCATTGTTGCTTGCCAATATCTGGTGTCCTGAAGCCATGCCGACAAACCCATACCACATCCACCAAAAACCCTAACCTGTACAAAATTATGAAAACTTTTTTATATTATTAGAAATATTTAAAAGAAAGTATCATAAAAAAGTTACATGGGCCGGGTTTGTATAGGAATATATACACTGCATAATGCTGAATTAGATATAAGTTATTTGAGCCATCTGGGTTAGTACTACAATATTGTAATGGTCAAAAACTATTAAAAGTTTCAGTTGTGATTTATATGCTCATATTTATCATAATATTATTGTATTAATATGAAATTAATTAAGGATAATGGACAATATGCACTTTATAAAAAGTTAATGGTGTCCTATTTGTTGTTGTAAGAAATAAATTGTTTAGTAATAAGTATATAAATTATTTACTATTCTGTCTACATATAACAGGGGTTACTCACACTTGTTTCAACCACAGAAATTTGTCACAAACATTAAATTATTCAAAAAACATTTTGATTTTAGTTTAGGATAAAATATCATGTAAATTTATGTTAAAAAATTGGTAGGAATATTTGTAAAAAAATAATAATAATAATAAATACCATTAATGAGTATGGGTTTAGTAAGGTGATGGATGGGACATCAGATTTTGGAAATGTTGTGTTAATGTTTGTTTAATGTAAGGATTACACTACTGGTTCAGAACTGTTTTTATTTGAATATTTGAACAGCAATAGAATAAATGCACCTCTGTTGCTCTGGCTTTCACCATTACCTTATTGCATCTATACCAGTACTAAGTATCAATATTAACTCAATAATTCCTTCAGTAAACCATGGATCTACACAACATTTATCTACATGATTTCTACAAGTATGTCATGTACTTCTAGACAAAGAAATTGAAGTATACAAGTTCTGTTCTATCTAACATGAGTTGTGGTAGTATAAACTACAGGAGATACTTCACTCCTTACTCCTGCAAATGCATTGGCTGGAAACTCAGTTCATGAATGCGACTAAACTGTGACCAACAGGAGAAACGACCAGCAACCAGACAGGAAGACTCATCCAAAACTTGTACAAAGTACATGTAAAGTAAGTCAGTCTGACTGTTAATAGGTTATTTCGTTGTACAAGCAGAAAATCATTTAATTTATTAGCATACAATGTCGAAATACTGTAATATTATTTGTATCAAGAGAAAAGTATCGTGTACTATATCTACAATATTTGCATTATACTGTATAATAAAATATTGTATTATAGTACAGGTTGTACCTCTCTAGTCCGGCATTCTGTGGTCCGGAAACTCCCGTGGTCCGGAACGATTTTAGTTTGTCCAATAGGTAGATTGGCAGCTTTTTTTTTATCTTTTTTTTTATCTTTATTATTATTATTATTACAGGAGTATTAAATTTTTGCCCCTCAGGCCCCAATGTGGGTCAGTGACCTATGCCCAGGTGGGCTAATCCCCATAAAAAAACAAAACAACAAAGCTGCGGGAAATTAAGGTTTGTTTACATCCGGCAGTTCGGCTGTTCTCTCTCTCTCTGCTTGTCTATACAGAGTACAACATTTAACCCTTCAATATATATGAGCAGTAAATAAGTGTTGCTTTCATATTCTTATGTAGAGTAATGACGATATGTTTTCACATGTGCGCACTTACATACGCGCAGTCTCACTTTTTTTTTTACCATTAATGGTTAGCTACTTATATTGTTCCATTTATTAACATTAAATAACATTACAGGTACTTCAAACAACCATATTAATTTTTTTACATTAATTTTACTACAGCTACAATCAGGGTCTTATTTTCTTCAGTTTTATATGTAGAACCAATCAGTCACTGGTTTTGTAAGCTTTAACATAAACAATGCCGGCAGCCGTCTCGTCTCATCGTGTGTTTTAATATTCCACGTATTATTAATAAATTGTATTGTTAATTTTGCACACACAAACATTAATTCAATAAAAACAAATTCAGAAACATTAATTAGAATATATATGAACAGTAAATAAGTGTTGCTTTCATATTCTTATGTAAAGTAATGACGATATGTTTTCACGTGTGCGCACTTACACACGCGATCTCTTTTTTCTTTACCATTATCGTTAGCTACTTCTATTGTTCCATTTATTAACATTAAATAACATTACTTAAAACAACCATATTAATTTTACTACAGCTACAACCAAGGTCTTGTTTTCTTCAGTTTTATATGTAGAACCAGTCAGTTACTGGTTTTGTAATCAACGAAAACAATGCTGCTTCATTTCCGCGTGTGTTTTAATGTTCTACGTATTATTAATGAATTGTATTGCTCATTTTGCACACATATACATTAATTCAATAAAAAAGACATTCAGTTATAAACAATAATGAATCTTTTGTACATAAGAGAAATGACGCTGTTTACACGACTATGCACGTTGGCGGGCCGTTCAAACCCGTCGAAATTCAAGTTTCCGCCGTCAAAATTTTTATTTATTTTTTTTTGTGTGTGTTCCAATAAAATACGTTGAATTAAAAAATCGCGAAATTTGAGAAGCTACTATACGACATTTAACCCTTCAATATGTCTTCAAAGAGACCATGATGCAGAGAAAGTGGTGCTAGTGCTTCCAAGCATAAGCACAAGTCACTATCTATCCAGGAAAAGGGTGAATTTCCATGGTCTGGCAATTTCCATGGTCCGGCATCGGTCAGGTCCCAAGGTTGCCGGACTAGAGAGGTACAACCTGTAGTTGATGAATACCTTTTGGTACTGTGAGCCAGGTGGCAAGTCCTGGCATACCATGTCAAGGGTTTTTCATTACTCTCACACAGATAATAGCACCTGAGTGGAATGATATAATATGTCTGTCTTAAGCTTGGTTCTTGTCACCCCTCTAAAATGCATACCGCTATTCCACAAAAGTATTCAGTATTAAGATACTACATAATCTCTCGCAATCTTGGTTCATTATGGCTGTACAACATATGTTTCAGCAAGTTTTTTGTACTGTTATTTTGAAATAAGATATGAAACAAGTCATAACATTCATGAAAATTTTCAGTTTTGTCTGTGCTGACTACCGTACTATAATAAAATGGTACACTCCAAGTTCTAACAACTTAATGCAATATTATTTTGACATAGTGGATGGAAAATATCATGATTCATTATTTACCATCTTGTGTGTCGAATTACTGTATGTGTATTACTATGTATAATATTTAGAAGCATACAGTATTTTTTGTTTAAAAATACTGTAGCTAATACTTTTTTTACACCATTTACTCAGCCGTGTAAAATCCCCTTTTGTTTTAAAACCGAGGTGACTAGGGGTGTGCAGTACTGTTTTTACCATTAAAGCTAAGAGTTATAACCCAGACTGACCACTCACTATTGGCAGTTGGCACAAATTTTACCCATTCAATGCAGACATGCCTCTAACAATTGACTTCAGATGTGCCATTTGTGGAATGAAAATACAGTATGTTATGTGTAAAAAGTGTTGCACTGTGGATACACCTGAAATTCAGAACAGCCACATTGAATGGGTTAAATAATGAATACAACTTTTCTGTTGCAAATTTAGCCTATAGAAAGATGTCTGGGAAGCAGAGGTTAGCTATCAAAAGCTAAGGGCTAAGCAAGTCTTAGGTAAGACCTTTTAGCCTCTAGAGGCTAGCTGTTGCATCAAATCATCCAATTTGAGGGGATAGTGTGATGGAGAGAGAGGGATAATTGGTATATCCAAATGGATTTGCAAATAGACCCTGGCTAACATTTCAGGGGATTACCCCCACCCAGAATGGACTCCTGACTAAAGGCTATACAGGGCTGCCTCACTTATTGCAAAGGTTACGGGCATGAAACTCGTTGCGAATATCGAAAATGCGAATAGCGGAGTAATTTCTCCCATAAGAAATAATGTAAATAGGGGGGGGGGGGATACGGGCATCACGGTGGTCACCGTCAGATTTTAACACTTGTCTTACTCAATTACTCAATACATATACAACAAAATAAATAGAAACAAGGGCATAATATAAAATAAACATCAATAACAAACACTTTGAGTTTATTAGGCATACAGTATAGTCTGGGTTTACGCGGCTAATTCAACCCGTGGAGGTCCGCGTATAACGCGTAAACAAAATAACAGAACATATGGGATTAATTGAAATAGAGACTGGGCCGACCAACAGATTACCCTTTTTCCGACACAATACCAACGTTGTAGTAAAAATAACATCTTAATTTTATGATGGTATGCACACACAATTAATATTTAAGAGAAATATCAATAATATTAGGTTTTTTAACACTTACGTTAATAGAAGAGATGGCTGGGCACACGGGGATGCGGAGTTGGTTCCGAGGCAGAGGGCAGATTATTGGCCCTCACCTGTATCACTTGTATCACCTGTATCACTATCCACCACAGAGGCTAGCAGGGCCTCCTTGTCAAACCCCTCAAAGTCCATATCCTCACTATCACTATCACTGACTTGGGCTGGCTGTGGTGGGTGGCAGGCACGAGGGAGTATACGCGGAGACAGGAGACAATGGGACTGATGCAGTCAAGGTCATCGACTCATCGCCCCTGGTGGCAGGGCAAGCAATGTTAAATAGACCAATCACAGCTCGCGGCGGAGGGGGTGCGTGGGTGGTAAGGATACGTGGCCCAATCACTGTCCGCGACGTCATCGGCACAAGTCTGACGTCAGCGACCAGCAGCTTGCCCGCCGCTTGCCGCGTAAATTAAGGAATGTACCGTGTAACAAATAATTGGCGCGTCTGGACAGGTGCCGCGTAAATGGCCAAACGCGTATAAAATATCCAGACTATACTGTATGTTGTGTTGTCAAAGTAAGAGAAACAATTGGGACCCTGTAATTGTGTGTAAATGAGGCAGAAAGTCAGACCTGGGAATTGGTCACAATTTTTGTGATACCATATAGCAGCAGTTGTTCCCTTGGTAAAGCTACAATGTTTCTGTAGTCGGCAAGCAGCTCTAAGAGCCTAGTCCTGCCTTGAGTATGATCAATCACTCTAACATGTGGTGATATTTGATCTATCCTCTCTGCCTAGTTTGTTCAGGTGGAGAAAAAATACTACCAATTGGGAATTGTGTAGACTGTGGTACAACATTGTTATGGTAAACTAGAAAATCTCACAAATAACATCCCTCATTGTTGATTCACACGATAAACCTTTAACCTTGCACGTTTCCGGTTGACACACTACATCAGTCCCCGTGTACATGTCAGGTTAAACAACAGTGGCTATAGTGATTTCCTCATTCTGATAGTGGAGAGTACCCGTTAACACTGCAGGTACAGTCTTCCAATTTTTTTTGCTATAATCACGCTGGGAAAGTGAGCCTGTGAGGTCTTGTGCTCGCTTTGACTCGTTATCCGCCTTCCTCCTAATGGTCATGGTGGATAACACTTTCAACCTTGCGGATAGCAACGGTGCAGAATTACGCATAGCATTGTAGGAAACACCATTAAATGTAATAGAATTATTACATGGACGAACATCTATAAAATTTGTTCTAAGTGTTGGTAGACCTATCAACCCGTCAGCTGGTAAATTAAATTGCTGGACTACATAAAAATCTGCACAAAAGGAAATACCACGTCTAGAAAATCGTAGTGGTAAAGTTACCATCCCTGCAATATTCAGCTGCGTCCCAGAAACTCCTTCGAGATCGGTGTCAGTAGGTCAAAATTAAAAATCTCGGTGAGGGAATC